ATTCCTGCAGATTGTCAGAGATCAAGCTTCATCGCGTCGCATTATATTCCGTTTGAATCAATACCCGAGTGATCCCCGAGTTGTTCTACTATCGTCTTGGTCGTCGTTGCATTGTTAAACGAGCAGTTTTCGTTCCCCACGTCTCCATCAATGTCGCGCACATCTCGACATCTTGACGATATTTTGTATTTGCACTCCCGGAGTACCTATGTATGTATTTACTGCTGTTTACTGCTGCGACATCGATTTGCGCATGCGCGGAAATTCCTCCGCGCTCTTCTAATGCCATCTAAAGCTCGTTCTACATTGATCGCATGTCGCCAGTCGCGATCAATGTAGAACGGGCTTAATGTTTGCGCGCGACAATTATAATGATGGCTTCCTTGGCAGACGATTGGTCGATGCTCTCTTTAAATGCACTTTCAATTTGAAGGCTAGGATAGTTGTAGAGGTTAGGTTCGATTCGAAGAAGCAGACGACGAATTGATCACGTAATATATGTACACAAAACACATGTTTTATCGCCGGCTTACATCATTCGTTGTGCCATCATGAACGGTACAGATTTCGAAGGCTACGTACGATCCGAAATATTCAATATTTTATAATAAATGTATCAATTGTCATGATTGTGTGCGAAGTTTTGTAGGCCGAAAGATTTTGACGCATAAGGTAGTTCTTTTGATTAGAGGCCACTTTTCTCCTTATCAGCTCGATGACGCTTCTTGAAATCCGTCTGATCGGATCGGACGCCGAAATAAAGTATTACGTGGAGCAGAAATGTTTCACGAGCAAGAGAATTCTGCGGAAAATTTGTCCAAGAGAGATATCTTGCTTACATCTTTTATTGTAAGTGTCGTTTCGTTAATACTGGCTGTCTATAATTATAACTCGATGCTTTATTTTCTCTCGTGCTAATATCGTACATTGACTTACTTATCAGATGAATCTTGCTAATAAATTTTATATATTTTGTAAATAAATTTTTATGAATTAAGCAAGTCGTACCTTTTTTCTTGTGTCAAATAATTTTATGTAGATACATCATTTGTGTTGTTACTTTCCAAATTTTATAATTCTCTTTCTGTTGATTTATATATGCGATAAACTAAAATTCTAAAACAAGTCAGACCGATTTCATCAAAAAATAATCGCTATTTGATGTCAGTCAGGTGCTTTTGCAGGGATTATTTGTGACGTGACGCTTTTTCCATTGGATACCCTTAAAACACGATTACAAAGTCAGCATGGATTTTTCGAATCTGGTGGTTTCAAACAGCTGTACAAAGGTGTAGGACCTGTGATATTAGGTTCTGCTCCATCAGGTATAACTTGATGTTAAAATATATAATGATGTGTATTGAAACAGAAATATTTTATTTATTTAAGTAAATGAACATTGTTATATTACAGCTGCTATATTTTTTATCACTTATGATGGAATAAAACAGTATTCACAACCGTATATACCAGATCAGTATCACTCTTTTATACACATGGCTGCAGCATCATCTTCTGAAGTAGTAAGTGATTGCAGTATTAATTATTGGTTAGTAATACAATTGGAAAATTTTAATACATTAAACTTTTGTATTAGCATATAATGACACAAATATATATTATTATAAATAGTATTTTATATCAATTGTATAATTTTAAAAGTATTATACAAATGTGTATCGGGAATTGCTCAACTTTCCATGTATAGACTGCCTGCTTGGTTCGGGTGCCAGTGGAGGTAATTAAGCAAAGGAAACAAGCGCTCTTGTCCGACACGCATCGATTAGGACTAAGAACATTGTATCGCGGTTATGGAAGTACTGTTCTCCGGGATTTACCATTTGGTATGATTCAAATGCCATTGTGGGAGTATTTCAAGCTTTGTTGGACCCAAGAAATACAGCGAGATTGCACACCCCTGGAGGGTGCCACATGTGGGGCTGCGTCAGGTGATGATTCGAATCACATATTATTAATTGGTGAAATAATTTTTTTTTATGAGCTATTGTTATTTAAATAATATTGGTTTCTCAGTTGCTATATCAGCTGCCATAACGACGCCGTTAGATGTCGCAAAAACTAGAATTATGTTGTCCAGTACTTCAGCGGAAAAAGCAGAAGTTAAAATATCTACAATGTTGAAAGATGTTTACAGAGATCATGGTACTAAAGGGTAAGGTTTGAATGAAATATATATCTCAATCTTTAATTCTTAATATAAATTTCATTTTCCGATGTTTTAACAAGGTCATTTTTTTTAGGCTGTTTGCTGGGTTTCTCCCGAGAGTAACTGGCTTTACTATTGGTGGTTTTATATTCTTTGGCGTTTACGAACAAGCCAAAGAATTTTGTATATCCTACTTTTCAAAGTAGTCATTGATAGATTAACAAATTTAAAAAAGTTATATTATATTGAAGCTCTAACAAATTTTTCGAATACATTCTAGCAAATGAGCTTTTTTTCTCAACAATATTTGCTGGGATCAATTTCAAAAGTAATTACAAGTTAATAAAATTGATCAAAATAAAAAAATATTGTTTATTTAGTTATTACTAATACTCTGTCTAATAAAATTAAAGTTTAAATCTTCTAATTATAAGAGATAATAGAAATATATTTATGAGCAATCAAATATCACTTTTGATGACAAGAGATCAGCTTTAAACTAAATGATTAAGAATCACATATATTTAAGAATATTTCTCAATTATATATTGTGTAGCACTTTAATTATACAACACCTCTCATATACGCATATTTTATATATCTTTTTAAAAATTTACTGTTTGTTGATAGATTTAATCCAATTTTGTAAATTTGCATTATACTATGCTAACAATTAGCAACATTGCGATACAAAATTCTAAGCTATTGAAAATTACTGAACGAAACAATATCACATTGGTCTTTAACATTTACATTATAAAAAATCTTTTATTATTATAGTATATAGAATATATGTATCAGCTAAATTGTTTGATAAAAAAAATCGTACAAGAATAGAATATCAATACTGATCTTATTAGATCAGTGTACAACAATACCTTTTCTCAGGTTTTCTGCTTAAAACAATTGCTTCTTCCACTTGTTGCAAATTTTCTGGATTGGACACGAAATCCTGTACAATTTCGTCGAACAATTCGTCTGTAAAAAAAAAGACATAAATAAAATAAATTTTTTGCAAATAAAATATAGTGTTTACTAAGTACGATGCATCCTCACCTACATTCTCTCCCGTCTTACTGGATGTTATAAAAAGTTTGGTCTGCGTGCCCTTTGCATATCTTTCTACAGTATTCTGCAGATCTGGATCATCCGATACAAAACCTTCATCGCACAAATCTTTTTTAGTAGCACAAAGATATACTTTACAATGTTCCTCAACGTCTCTGAGTTCTCTCACCCAATGCTTCGCTCTTTGGAATGTACTCAACTTAGTAATGTCATAACACACTATAGCAGCCTTTGCACCACGATAATATGTTCTAGTCATTGCATTGTATCTAATAATTATTTACAATAATAATATTTAATATATGTCATTTTCAAGTGAAAATTTTAGAACAGAAGAATGACGAATTCATATTTACTTTTCACTGCCCGCAGTATCCCATATTCCCATAACAAGAGACACTCCATTCACTTGTACTTGCTTCGCTGCAAACACAGTGCCTATTGTCTGCGGCATAATTTCAACTGCATTAATTTGTATATGATGCTCTCCCTTCCATTTAGACGATTCTCAGTGTAAATTTTAATATTACTTTACAATTTTCTTTCCATAATGCCATAGACTAAGAAAAACAGTGCCTTGTTAGTGCTCACAATTGACTAAGTCTATTCTTCTTAGCTGCATTTTTTTGCAATTCTTTTTTCTTTTTAAGTCTTGATTGCATCAATGACATTAATGAAAAGTATAGTGACTGCAAAAGTATGATTTTTTATTTCCATATACAAAATTTTCTCTTTAATAGTATTTTATTTGCGAATTACAATAGCAAAACAAAATATTAAATAAATTCAAGATATATGACTTACAATACTTTTCTGAGATATATTGATATGTAAATATCATTGAAATGATTATAACTGAAAACGCCCATTAAAATATATGTTATGTATACTTTTCATTAGTGTCTTATTTCTTTTTCTCGAAAATTTATGTAATTTTAAATTCAAGCGAGCTAAAAGGAATAGTCCTATTATCGAGAATGATTCTAAAAAAGTTCTAAGAAAAACTATTGTTCTTCTCTTTTCTTTGTTCTAACTATTCTTTCTTTCGAATCGTCTTTTCCATAGATAGGTATAGTGTATCGATTGAAGTAAGATTCTAATCAAAATACTTACGTTTTGATAAGGTCTGCTGCCGTTAAATGAGTCATGTATGTATCGTTCCATAAGACTTGTTTTTCCCACTGTCGCGTTACCCAACAATACAATTTTTAAATCTACGCGATTCATGTTTGATTATCAGCGTTATCATGTATACGAGGTTAGGTGCAAACCCACCTGTATCGACGCTCTGAAATGAGGAGCAATGAGGCCCGTTCAGTCACAATGACAGAGTTGCGCTACTGTATTATACTGTGGTTCAGTAGAACAAACCGCTTATGTTAGTAGCAATCGAATGTGATTGGCTTTTACTTTTAGAACCGACAAATCAACGTCGAGTGTAGCTTTACATATGTATAAATATAAATATATGAAAAAATATTCCTCTTATCCATAAAAAATATTTTGTAAAATATTATATTTTCATAAATATATATAAATATATATATATTATAATTATTCGCTCACGCAGTAAAAAAATTAACAACTGAGCGAATCCCCCTTTCATTTTAAACAGATGTATTAAGTTACATCTTTTATAAATGATAAGTATTTAACATTTCTAAATACATCATAAAAAAAACACAGGAATCTTTAATTACAAGCATTTAATGTTTAATAGTCTAGTTTATTATGTGATGAATATTTCATCAAGCAAAAAGATATAGGTAGATCTACAGATTCAAAACACAACAAACTCTCTCAAAAGTTTTACTATTTTATTACATATAATTTTCTTTTCCTACACAATGGAGAATTGCTTTTTCAAGAATGCATCTATCATTCTTTTTTCAGCTTTATTTTGTCACAAAAAATCTAAAGGTTAATTGATATTAATACTTTTAAGAGACATATTAATACATAAATACTTTTAACAGACATATAACAGGTATGTTCTTTACAGATTGATATATAGATGTTTCTCATTTTAATAATTTATTTAGCCTTCCCTTGCGCGGCGACTGCAGCCATCGCTGCCTTAACGGTTTCTTCGTCACCCAAGAATTTCATAGAAACGACAGGCTTGAAATTCTCATCCAATTCGTACACGAATGGAATACCAGTCGGTAGGTTCAATCCCATAATTTGATCATTGGTCATTTCTAAAAATGAGAAATCACACTCACAGATTGATATAATTACATTGATACCAATAAATCAATTACATAAGCAAAGTTTCTTACGATCGAGATGTTTTACTATGCCGCGTAAGCTGTTTCCATGGGCGGCTATTATGATCCTCTTGCCCTCCTTCAACTGAGGAATAATTGTCTCATTCCAATAAGGTAATGTTCTCTCGATTGTTAACTTGAGGGATTCAAACTTGGGGAATTCCTCGGGTTTAGGACCATCGGCGTAACGCGGATCCTTCACTATCGTGTCGTAATACTTGTGATCTGGTTCCATCGGTGGCGGCGGTACATCAAACGATCTCCGCCAGATCTGCACTTGTTCCTCGCCATACTTGGCGGCTGTCTCCGCCTTGTTCATGCCGGTGAGACCGCCGTAGTGTCGCTCGTTTAATCGCCACGTCTTATGGACAGGCAGATTCTCCTGGTTAATCTCCTTCAGGATTGCCTTGAGGGTTTCCTGAGCTCTCGTGAGCACCGATGTATGAGCCACATCAAACGTGTAGTCCGCGTCTTTGAGAGCTTTTCCCGCGGACACAGCTTCATTTTTACCTGCAGAAATTTCTAAATGTAAGAACAGTTCTTCCTATGTGTGTCTGTGTATAAAGGTTTTTTACTACTAATCTTAACAGAGTTTTTTTACGTCATTGAATATAAAAGATTTCAAGAGATATACGATCACAATGTCATTAATTCAAATCCATTCAAAAGCAGAAGCTCGTAAAATCGCGCGACCTTTTGCCCTTGAAAATGACGGATCAACCGGGCGAGATTTACATACCTTTGTCTGATAGATTGGCGTCGTACCACCCGCAAAAGAGATTCAACTTATTCCATTCGCTCTCGCCGTGGCGAACCATAACAATCTTGTATTTTGACATGTTTTCTGTGAAATCGCGACAACCGCGTAAAAAGAGACAATTCTTGAGAACGATGCGAACACTAGTCGATGCTCGTGCTCAGCTGTTTGATTCTTCCCACTCCCGCTGCTCAAGAAAAGTCAAGTCTCTTTTAAATCACTCTTATGGCTGATACGTCATCATACAATATCCAATCAGACAAATTGGTTTCTAAAGATCTCCAATTGCATAAAATATTGCTAGCCAAACTCTCTAGAAAAGAAACTCTCCTATTATATACCAGTCGTAATCTGAATCCGGCATTAAAGATTTGAATAAGGCATAGACATCTATAAATTTACATGTCTATGGAATAAGGTCGCTATTGGTCGCCATAGCGTGTAATGCAACATGGTTTTTGAAGTATAACCTATAATCATGAATTTTATATATGTAAACGAGAAATGTTACATTTCAGAGACATTGCACTTATAATAATCATTGCGATAAAAATTATTGCATTTCTTATTTGTAAGAATCTTTACGCTCCGATCGCACGCATGTCAATAAAAAATTGTGTTCTAACCTGTACTGTTTGACATTTGTGTTCAGCATTCCGGGTGTTTTGTTAGAAGAAAAGTGTTCAGCGCACGGTTCTTCAAACCGTTGACAGTGTAACATAAAATAACGTCTATGTCTGTGGTGAACGTAATAAATATCGCATAAATTAATTTACAGAAATATATATACACTGGATATTTTTTGAACCTCTGCTGTTGAGTGACATGTAGCGTGATGTGACAGTAGAGATTCCGTGAGAGAAAATGTGGATAATCGCAGACAGATTCGCGAGATCGCAAAATATAGTCGCTTCGTTCGTAAAAAGGTGACCATCGATTATACATTTTTTCGATCGTTCGACGTATATCGTAATTATGGAGATAATAACTGCTAAAGATACCAGCGAAGCACACGCTTCTCTGTCCACAAAGCATTGCGATAACTCCATACTAGTTTCGTGCAATTGGCAGATTGCTAATAATAAGCAATTCAATGATGTTATCACCACCACATCCTTACAGCATGCACCTGCAAAGTAAGTGAACGAATTAGAACAAATTTATATATGCGATTTTCACCATGCAATGGACTTTTAAAATAACAGAAGTAATATTTAAATTATTTATATATATAAATGTTTGCAGAATAAACTGTGAAGATGTAGCTTTTCTGGATACCTGTATTGCTCTGCAATCGTCAAACTTTGAACCATGTATGCTGGACATCAAAGTAACAAACTGCCAGAAAATAGCACGCATTGCTATTGTTTCTGAGGGCAATGTTCTAGAAATCTTCAAACAATATGGAGAGTATGAAACAACGATACTCGCCGAGTTTGTAGATGAGTATGAAGAAAATATTGTTTTTCTTGGAGAAACAACGATACAACCTCCTACAACAGAAGCTGGTATTAAGGTAGGATGATTATATATA